GAACATCGATCGTATTTCGATTAAATTATTATAATTGCACGTTATCATTGGATTATGAAAGTCTTCCTGCTTTTTAAAAAATTACGCTTTCTAAAATCTGATTTATTTATTTTTTTTTTTTTCGTTTTTTTTTTGTCACGCTCACCTCGAATTCAATCCCTCGAATTCAATTTAAATCGTTGGTGGCGAGCACGTTGAAGATTATAGTTTACATCCAAAAAGGAAAAGGACGAGATGGTTGCGTGGTCTGAAACGCGGCAGCTGATGGGCTATCTCGAAAGAGTGTAAAACAGGAAGTTGTTCGATAGGAAGGTGTACGAACAACGCTCGATCGTGAACAAATTCGACGCGGTCTCGATACGACTTTATGTACTTCCTGGATCACTTTTTCCCAATGTCCACCGGGTAATTACGTATCGAGGTTAAATTTAGCGTTCAAGGCTGACCTATCCTTTACTCTCTCCACGGCAATAAACGGAGTTTACTATCGTCGCGATACCGGACGAAGGTACACTTACCTAGAAAATATACCACGTAAAATTTCCATTTTCTCGAGTACCCGTGAACGACTTTGAATAAGCAACAACTAGCTAGAAGAACGATTGCCGTACCGAGCAAGTATGCCGATTTGCAATTCAAAACGGTCGCGCAGTTAACTTCTAATTTCTTCTTATATACCACGAACGATTTATCACCAAGATTTTCGCAACATCGTGTTTCTTTCTTTTTCTTTTTCTTCTTCTTTTCCCTCTCGTTGGCAGGGGAAAAAGTTGAAAAATCGGACAATTTCGATAAATTGGTCGTTGATCGATCGATCCGAAATCGATCGTTGGAACGAAGAGAAATTATTTCGTTTCATCCGACTCGATTGAGCTGGTAATATGCAGAGGCGAGCGAGCGAGCGAGCGAGCGAGGTCTGCGCACTCGTTCGTTATATAAGGTGAAAGGGCGACTGACATTGACATTGAAGTTCGTGCTATTCAATGCGGAAACGGACAAACTCCGTTATTTAATCTCTTTCACAACGATTACGAGGAACGCTTTATCGGCCGGAGGTATCGACCGGAAGCGCAAATGCGCGTTACGTGTTCCATCGAACGAGCCCGACTGCAATTCTCGCGACGCGTAACAAAATATCATTTTTTTTTTCCCCCGTTGCAATCGAAACGAATCCGTTAAACGAACAATAATACCTCCCTCCATCATTAATAATCGTTATTCGTTTAAAATTCGTTTGAAAAATTCGTTCGTAAACGTCGATTCGTCGTCGAAATCGTTTTCTTCTCAAAAGTTGTTTCGCGCGTTTAATTAGAACGAGAGATGCCTCCCCTCTGAGAGAAGTAGAAGCTCCTCGAACGAGATATAGGAGCGTATATGCCTGACCTGCCTTACGCCACGCGAGTCGAGCACAATACCCCCGAATAACCGATGCTCTTATCTGGCTACGACAATTTCTCCGGCGTCGTGCCGCAGGTCGGCACTCGGTGACGTGCACAACTCGCTTATATCAGGGTCGTCATCCGGATGCTAATAATTCCCCTGCGTGTTCCCTTTTTCTTCTTCTTCTTCTTCTTGTTTCTTTTCTTTCGATGGAACGGTACGCGATAATAATATAAATTCCAGGCGATTATATCCCCTCGATTTTCACTTTTTAAAAGTGGAGGAGATTTTACGCGAACCGTGAAGAAATTCATTGTCGTGTCGAGAGAAACGCGAAGGGAGAAAGAGCGATTCGCGCGAGCCATGGTTCCTTTGTGCCTTCGGTTGAAAAGCGGCGAAGGCCCGCGACCCGGTGTATGCGCGTGGAACAACAATTCGTTTCGTCGGGGCGCAAATGTTCCACCACCAGTTCCTTTCGCGAAATAGGTTACATGGACAAAGGAGGAGCGAGAAGGCCGCAGGAATGCGGAGGGAAATTTTCGAAACGGTACAACCTGTGCTCCTCCTTGCTTCCCAATGCGCAAACTGATTGCCCGTTCGTTTGCTTTTTACCGTGGCAAAGCGAATAGTGAACGTTTCTTCGAGCGGTCAGCTTTTCTCCTCCTCCTTTATTATGTTATATTACACGTTTATCTTTTTCTTTTTCTTCTTCTTCTTCTTTTTTTCTTTTTGTGTGTTACTTTTCACGATTTTGAACGGAGTTTGGATAAATGAAGAAAGATGCGGGCAAAGAAGGATTAATCTCGAGCAAGGACACCGTTACGCAGTCCATTTTGTAATAAGATGTGCGTGCGGGCCCCGCTGCGATTTCTGCTATTACAAAATGGGTTGTCGCAGTACGACGAGTGCCAAGTTCATCGACCGTGCAGGAAAATGAAAATCCGCCTTTCCTTCGCTGGAAATCGGGCACACGGCAAAAGGGAATTGAACACGCGCGAAAACACACCAAGATTTCGTTCGTTCGTTCGAAGATAAATGTCCATTTCTATGCGCGTTTGACGGCTCGTCGCCGAGTCGGTTCGAGGTGAAAGAATGGAAACTGAGCGTAAATTGTCTTTGAGGAAACAATGCCGACAGCCTCGAAGTGTGCTATTACAAAATGGGTTATGCAGCGCGCGAAGAGAGTCAAGTTCAATAACCGACGAGAATGGAAACCTGCGACCTAGTACAAATTCATTTCACTCGTGCGCGTAAAAATCTCGCCGATTTCTTTCTCCGCTCTGACAATTCTCCAAGGATCTCTCGGATGGATCAACGTGGAGGAGAAAGGAAGGAAAAAAAAAAAAAAGAAAGAAGAAAGAAAAAGAAACGATAAATTTTTCCTCGCGCTTGTAAATAAAAAATTTTCGCGAAATTTTGTCGTACCCGAAGGAAAACTCTTCTGGTTGGACACCGTCCGAAATAAATCGTCCGGCACGTACGATACACGCGAGCGTGAATTTGGGAAAAGGATAGCGGTGCGTTCGAAGTGTGCTATTACAAAATGGGTTATGCAGCGCGCAAAGAGAGTCGGGTTCAACAACCGACGAGAACGGTGAACCGAGGCGCGCAGGCCGGTAGCGAAAATGATATAGCGGTCGTCCGTGACTCCACGGCGTACGTAGAGGAGGTCCTCGGCCGAGAACGGAAAGAACAGAAAGAGAGGGCAGACCGGCGAACCAGCCGGTCGACCTCCACCACTGCCGTAGTCTGCCGATCACGTGTCCCCATTGAAAGCGGCTGGCCACGTACGGCCTGACGTCGATCACAACCACTCGAGAGCGGCGTTCTGCCTTGGCGCGCGCCACGTTGCTTCCAACCGCGGCCGACCAGCCATCCTCCGTTTCCACTTGTACTTTTGCGAAACGATACGCGCTGCTATGCCGTCGGACCACTTTTAAACCTCTACTTCGTTCCGATTTGGGTCACGGGCCTCGACCATCTTTTCCATCTTGTTTATATAAATATAAATATATCGAAGATTTTTCGCGAGAATTTTCTTTTCTCTTTTCTTTCTTTCTTTCTTCTTTTTTCAAACGTAACGAATCTCTTCGGGGATTTTTAAGACGTCAAAGGTATACACACACACACACACACACACACACACACATATATATATATACCGTTTACGATACTTTAAGAATCTTTAGAAAAGAAACGCGTCCCTGAAAAGGTTAATGAAAGTTTCTTTGTTGCGACTCTTCTGCTTAAACCAAGTCGATTGAAATTTTTTACGACACTTTTCATCATCCTTGTGATCGAGTAACAACAACAAGAGCGAAAGAGTCGGTGGAATGGCACGATTCAGCCAAGAGGAAAAATTGGCTTTGAAGTCACGGTCCGTTCGTGACTTCATCGAGGTTCAACAGGAGAGCAACGAGCACCATCGTTGTCCCGTCCAGATCGATGGAAAGAATACTTCTTGGAATTCAGGGCCGTCTAGCTCGATCGCGATTAATCACGATCGGCGCAGCGACGTAACGCTCGCGATGAACTCTCAAGGTTCAACGAATTCCGTTCCCTCGACTCGAGGGGGACGCAGCCACGCAGGCCTGGCCGATGTCTCTGACCCGATTCGCCTCCTCACCTTTCGGTTACATAAGAATCACACACAATTAATGTTACCTCTCGTTACATTAATCCATCCCGGTATTTGCAACAGGATGAATTATCGATCGTGTTTCACCGACTCCGCTAGTGTCCCGAAACGACTTTCGTTTTTGGATCGACCCCGCCCGCTCCTTCTTTTCTCTATCGGGATACGAAAGAAAAATTGCCCCGACGAGAAATAATGAAAATAACGAGCGGAAGGAAAAAGTGGTTGAAGAGAGAAAAGAAAAGAGCAGATAAAGCTGAGAGAAAGAGAGAGATAAGGAGGGGAAAAAAACGCGGCAGGCCGAAGACCTACCGAAAACGAATTCGGTTTTACTTTTGGCCTCGCCTTCGTCGGCCGTGCAACGGTGCTTTTACGCACCTGTACACGCATAGACCCGTGCATAGTGGCCCACGTGTAAACGTCTTCACGTATTCATGGTTTTACGACCGTTTGGTAGTCGTACCTGTGTACCGGTACCTCGGTGTACACAAGCCTATGTACAGTTAGGCGAGTGACGCGGTTTCGTTTCGACGTTGGTCGGGTACGTGGCGATATGCAGGGATGCAGCTAAGCCTCGCGAACAAGCCTCCCGTTCGATTCTGACTTTTCGAAAAATCGCTTCTTTTTCCCCTCCTCCATCTTCCTCTCCTCGAATACTACTCCTCTCGTCGTCGAGGAAATCGATCGAAGAAACGATCGACGCTATGTTATCCTCGTTTCTCGAACGAGACGGGAAAACGGGGGAAAAAAGAAAACGGGAGAGGAGAAGAAAACGCGCGCGATCGGCGCGGAGGAAACTCGTTTAGGAGGAAGATTTTCGCGCATGGCTGGGAGCCGCGTTTAAAGTTCGTTCACCGGTGTCGAACACTGTCTCCGTCCGTCCCTGTCTGCGGATCCGCATACACGCGTGCGTGCAGAGGAAGAATATATAGGCGCAAAAGGGGGTCCCCTATGGGGGTATCGGAACCTCGTTACTCAGCGCACCATGCCTATAGCGATGGTCCAAGTCCAAGTCCAAGTAGACCTCCAAGTGGGACAATGACCGGCAGAGACCTTCTTTCAGATCCGTGGCCGAGAGAGAGAGAGAGAGAGAGAGAGAGAATGGGGAAGAATGGCGGTGAACGCGGAGGAGAAAGAAGGACGGAGCGAGGCAAGCCGTAGAGGAGAGAAAGGGGAGGGCAATCGCGAACTCACTTCGCTAATTCACTTGCTCGTTGCTTTTCCGGTTTACATTTTGCCACCAGCCGGAGAGTACGTCGGCCTTTAAATCGGCGCCGGCTCTGGCGACTAGGTTCACTAGGCGGGAAACGGGACTTTAGATTTTCGCCCAACGATATCGAATTCGAGTAATCTCGAAGGCACTCGATCGTAAATACTTGAGAAAGAATTTTTATTTTTCGACCTTTTCCGAATAAAATCGGCACGAGAGAATTATTATATTTGAAAATTTATGAAAATTCAAATTCGTTCGCCGCAAGATCGGTGGTGGAGTTGCAACAGCAACTAGGTTTCTAGAAAAACGTCCCAACAAAACGTCCCGGTTCAAAGGCTCAAGGGTCATCGACCCCCCCGCAGACTCGACAAACCGTCGACCTTCTTACAAACCGTCCAGACCTTTCTTAACCATCGGGAACACCGGATGAATATTTGATAGTCCGGTTCGGGCCTCTGACCTTCGAAATTCGGCAGCTTTTACCGTAATTGGCCCGCCATCGATTAAACCCATCGTCTCGGATCTCGTTTGATTCTCGGCGACGGAGAAACTTTTGCAATGAATGAAGGATCCGAAGGGAGGGAAGAGAGGGAAGAAATTTTTCTGGGATTCTCTTTGAGTACGGAAAGAGGAGGGGAGAAGGAGGAAAATTTATAGGAAGAGTGAGAAAAACACGGGTGAGTCAACGATATTTCATTCTAGACGAATTTCAACCCGTTATTCCTGGAAATCCGCGTGTGTACGCGTGTGTACACGGGATCGACGTGATAAACACACACAAACACACACACACACACACATATATATACACGCCCGTATGGCCCGTTATTCTCTAAAGTAACAGTTACGAGCGTAGTACGAGAGTCCAAGTATCGCGCGCCGCGTGGAATAGGTTCGATTCGAATGGATTCCATGGAAACGGCATTTCCGGTTCACATTCGGTTTTCTATTCGTGGCCGCTATTACGCGCGTCTGATTAGAAACTTGCCAACCGTCGAGACAACATTGCGCTTCCGCCATTCATTTTACGGGGACAAAGGATCGAGAACCTTTTGGTTTCCCTTTCAACCGTGATTCAAAAGGTACCACCTCGCGTCCGTACCGATACATATATCCAATATATCACGCCTGTTATATTTTAATAACGCGCGGAATGGGATCGAAAGCGATCCCGTAAAGAGGTGTGATCCTTTTTTTTTTCTTTTTTTCTTTTTCGAAAAATTTATCGAGAAATTTACACGGGATTAAACGAGACACGATTTCCTTCGTTTTCTTAGACGACGGTATAAAAGTAGAAGTGGAGCTATTCCGAAATCGGTCGATCCGTATCTGATTCTCGCAAGAAGCGGTCGAACCGAAGGAAATTAATATATCTGGTACAGTCGTTCCTCCGAGGAGGGAAAAGATCGACGACCCGGGAACGTATCTGGGTTAGTAGTCGTCGGCGATTCACGCGGAAACTTCTTTCGCTAGGAGGGCACTGCGTGGAAATTCGCAAGGTGGCTTCTCCCTCCCTCCCTCCCCCCTCCTCTCTCCCTCCCTCCCTCCCTTCCTTTACTCTCGTCTCTGCTCCTCGAAAAGTGAAATTTCCGTACGAGCCGTGGCCCCGCTGACGAAATTTCGTCGTCCCGAGAATTCAGCGGGCAAGGTGAACGGCCTCGCCCGCATACCGACACGAGTCACTCTCGGTCCCTCGTGTCGCGAAACTGTTCCGCCGAAACGGCGAAACAACGGCGGACCTCACATTTCGGGGCAGTTTTATTTTCTCCCGGAAGAAGGAGAGATCGAATTTATCGATCTATTACGTTTAGAAAACGTTTCGAGCCGATAAAATTCGTCGTTAGCCTAGCCGTTACTGGATTAGAATTTAATTGTCCTCCGCCGAATTTTCCGTGAAGAGAGAGAGAGAGAGAGAGAGAGAGAAGAAAAAAAGAAAAGCAGGCCGCCGCCGACGTAATTCGCACGCGTGACAGGATTGAAACGGGAATGAAACGGGAATTATTTTATTCCGGTAGT